TGTGGTCGGCCTGTGGACTGGGGGGTCCCAGGTTTGATTCTGGTCAAGGGAATGCGCCTGGGTTGCGTGCACATCCCCAGTAGGGGGTGTGCAGGAGGCAGCTGGTCGATGTTTCTCTCTTATCGATGTTTCTAACGCTCTATCCCTCTCCCTTTTTCTCTGTAAAAAATCTATCTATCTATCTATCTATCTATCTATATATTTTTTTAAAGAGGGCTCTTTCCATGTGCTGGGCCTGGGCCATACTGGCAATTCAGAAGGGACCCCCAGTCCTCAGGGACTTCGCAGACTGGCAAAGGGCACAGACAGGTAAGCAGCAGGACGAGCAGAGTGATGCACTGGGATGGAGGTGGGCAGGGAGAGGAGCTGCCCCAGCAGGGGAGGGAGGAAGTGGTGCTGGCAGGTTCCCCAGGAGAGCATCACCTGAACAGTCGGCTGAGTCCTGATGGGCTGCAGAAATTGCCCAGGGAAGATGAGGGAAAGACAATCGAGGCAGAGACAGCTCCATGTGCAAAGCCATAAGAGAAAGAGAGCAGGGGCAACAAGAAGGAACTCTGAATTCAGTGGATGAAGTGCAGGTGGGGTAGTGGGCAGGGAGTGGATGGGGCTGAGAGGCGAGCAGGGGCCGTTGGGAGGGCTTTGCTCGTCACCCTGGACCTTGGTGTGGCCTCTGTTGGCACAGGAACCACTGATGTTGAAGCTGGTCAAGGGAGCTAAGACTCAAGCCCCTGGAGTGGAGGAAGAGCCAAAGCGGAGAGGAGTCCATGTGAGTCTTGAGTGCCTATGCAGCTGGGCCTCTGCCCTGGCCTTTGGCTGTGCCACGTGGGCAGTGTGAGCTGTGAGCTGGCACCTATAGGCCTGCCTGGAGCTCCAGCTGCCCTTCCAGCGCAGAGCTGTGAATCCGGGCTCCAGATGGGCAATTCCATAAACCCTGGAAACAGCCAGAGGGCTTCCTGGTGAGCCTACGTGGCCCATTTTTCCACAGCCCCATCCTCCCAGGGGTAAGCCACTGTGGCGGGGGCCGGAGCTTCATTCGTTTCCACTGTGCCCTCGGCATCAGACAGGGGGCCCAGTGTCCAGTGGGGGGTTATAATCACCAAGGAAGACACCGCCTGACTTGTTACTCAGAAAGCAGAGTGGTCTCGGCACTTCCCCACACCCAGTACTTGTGCCGCAACAATGAATACTCAACCCTTCTGGCTTCATTTAAAACATGAGGGCCATTTTAGAACAAAACCGAATCACTGCCACAGACATACAGGAAGTCAAAAATGACTCTGCATGAAGATGTCAACAGTTTTTCTCCAGACTGGACGTGCGACCTCTGGCACGAGACCTCCTGGGTTTGAATCCCATTCTGAAATTCACTAGCTGCGTGACCTTGGGAAATTACCAAACACACTGAGCTCCTGCCTCTTCATATGTAATAAATGGTAAATAATAGGGCCTTCCTCGCAGGGTTACTATGAATATTAGACGAGGCTAGTAACATATGCTCGGCACATGCTAGAGCTGTTTTTGCATTGTTATTTCCATTAGTCTTTATACATAGCTTTGCTAGCTCAAGAGGATTGTGTGTTCAGGGGATACAGCCTAGGTCCTAGGCCCTAGGAGAAGGAAGAGGAGGAGGAAACGGTGTACTGATGTCTACTGAGATGCCACGGAGCCTTTTCATGTTGAAATAAAGGCACCTTTTGTTTCCAGAAGGGTCAAAATGTTTGCCTGACCATCTTGGACGGCAGACAAAAGCAAAATCGATATCCTGGATGATTGTCTCTATGGCCAAGTCCAGATGAATAAAGCTATCAGGAGGGAACTTTGCATCAGACAGCACAGCTGGGTGCGCCCGCCCCTGGCACTTCCTCAGCTGGGCCCGTGCTGTGCTGTTCTGACGGGGTTGTCGTCATTAGCACAACCCACACGGGGAGCCTTCGAGAGTCCCTCAGGTGGCACGAGAGAAACACACCCGCTCTCCAGCACCCACGCCTGGGATGAGCACATAGAGGCAAATGCTGATCGTGCCCAAGTGTCTAATGAACATTTGTCGTTCGGCAGCCTAAACCAGTCAGCGTGGGGCTGCACCCGTCAGCTCCCTTGTCTAGGCTTCAGCGTTTTCATATGTAGCACGAGAGGACTAGACGAGGTCGACATTGAATAGAACGGTCTATGAATGTATTTTCTGTCTCAGAAACTTTCTGATGTTTAATTCAGGCACCAAGGAAAAACCAGAGTGACCCACCCCATTTCCATGAAGCTAAACGAAAGCACTTCCCAGCCCACAGGTGTGATGGTACGCGGGGGCGTCAAACCAGGAGCGAGCTTCACAGCTTGGAGGGGCTTTTTGAGCCTTGGACCCGAAGAAGGTCAGGACTTGGAGAGCACGTGGGAAGGCCCAGCTCAGGCCCAGGCTCGCACTCCTCACTCCACACCCGGGTGTGGTCAGCAGCGGACCCCCCAGCAGACCCCTGGGCTCTTGTCTGCAGGGAAGTGTGACCTGCAGCAGGTGAGAAAGGGCCAGCGTCACCCTTATATCTCAACAGCCTTTCAAACTCACTGGATTTATTTATAAAAAACGTTTCCCTGGAGGAAAGAAACGAACACCTTCCGTAACAAGGAAAATAACAATAGTCATAATAATGAGAAAAGCAAAATAAGCACGTGTAAGTGCATTTTTTTCCTTAGAGATTTATTTTTGTTTGATGGATCTGACACCGGTCAGGGAGAGAGGAGAACGTTGGGGGCCCCGCAGGGAGATGCGCACCCGAGGAAGGGCTGCTGCCTCCTGCGTGGGCGAGGCTGGTGCTGGGGTTGGTGGGCTGTTTAAATGTGTTGCTGGAAGTTTTCCTTTTGTTCACTTTTATAAATCTCTTCCCGGGCTTGCGAGCTTCCCCCCCCCCCCCCCGGCCCCCCAGTTTCATTTTTAAAAAGCGAGCTCGCTCGCCAGGTGTGTCCCCCAAGCTCTCACAGCTCTAATAAATAAGGAGCACCTGTAAAACAGTAGCTTGACGTGTGAAGTGACTCTGTACAAAGGAGAATATAGAAATACAGTATGTACACCGCACCCACGGGCCCTGGTGCCTCCGGGCCTGCGTGACCCCGGCTCGGCCTCGCCACCCACCCGCCCGGCACCCCTCCTGCGGCCGGCTCAGCAGCCTCGTAGGCAGGGGCACCTGGGCCCCTCCAGAGGGAACAATTGCTTTATTTGAGTTAGTAAACAGATACACTGAATCACAAGGTGATTTGATTTTTTTTTCTTTTTCTTTTTTTTTTTTTTTTTAGTTTTCTTTTTTGGGGATTTTTTTTCTCTCTCTTTTTTTTTTTTTTTCTGAACTCATCAGAATGGGATACTCCACGACTGTCTCACCGACTCAGTGCCAGGACACATGCTCTAGAGGACTTCTGACTCGCAGCTACGACGGTACAAGTGCACACAAGAAAACCTACCCTGTTATCCTCCACCCACCGACTGAGGATCCAATTGCACATTTCTCTTAACCATGACAGGAGAAAGCAAACAGTGAAACAGAACCATGGGCGATCTTTCTCACTTTCCCCCTTGTTTTCATTGGTTTGTCCATACCATTCCAATTATCATGAAAGGGCTCTGCGTATAGAGAGATTGCTTCACTGGCTTCCTGGATCACCGAAAACCATCAGGGTTGAAATTTCATCCAGGTCTTTCGTGACGCCCAGCAAATATTCCCCCCTCGGATTATTTTACACCTGGAGGGCATTTTGGTCTTCAGTTCAACACTCTTGCTCTGTTCCCAAATGGGGCGCTATTTAGGGGAATTTAAAGAGAAAGCTGAGAAGAATAAACATTTACCGAGTTCTCTTGGCATTCGGTCTCTGAAAAACCACAGTATAAACTATTCATGCTGCTTCTTACATCTGTCAAATCGAAAATTAAAAGCCATAAAAGTGTAACACTGAAAATATGGCATTAGAAAGGATAAAGGTGGCCTTTGTAAAAATAACAAGAAAAGTGTATCAGCCAATAAAATATTCTAGCTCTTCATTTAAAAGTGCTTCCTGGGCAGGACAGAGATGAGTCTGAAGTGCCGGGACTCCAGGGCGATCCCTCTCCGCCGTTGAAACGGGAACAGCGTAGGTCCGAAACCGTACAATGCAAATCACAATTCTTCGTGTAGCAGCAAAACCACAGCAGTTTTTTTAAAAAGTATAAAAAAAGATGTTTTCAAATCCGTATCGTCTTCCAGCCCCACCCTCTGCGCCTCGAGGATGGAGCGGGGAGCCTACCTACATTGGTCCTTGTGGCTTGTTGGCGTTTTGTTGTTTTAAAACCGAGGGCGAAATCCCTAAGTTCCTCTGGGGAGAAGCAGAGACGGTGGCAGCGGAAGGCTGGGCCCGCTGGCTGGGTCCGAGGAGAGCCGGCTTCTCTGGGCTGGAGGCCACCGAGGGAGGCTGCTTCCTCCGACAGAGATGCGTAAGGACAGGAAGCCGCTTTATTTGCTTGAGTTTTAGCCAGAGGGGGTGGTGAGCTGAGCAGCTGGTGCCATTGGATGTCGCGCCATGGCTTGCTCTGCGCCCTCTTTCCACGCAAGGTGCCCGTGAGCCAGTGCTCCTGGAAAAGAGAAGGGCCGTCAGAACCCACGGGACCAGCCATCCCTCCCCCCACGCTCAGAGAAGCACCCCCTCCAGCCTCCGGGCAGGCCCACCATGAGGCCCCGGAATGAAGGCAGCGTGGTGTGATCTCCACATGACTTTCATTCATGTCTCTGCGCAGCCCCAGCGCTGCCAGCTTTGTGTGAGGAAACGAAACTCGAGTCGCTTTTTGGAACACCACAATGAGCATGGCGCACCACGCCCTTGCCCAAGGACATAACAGCATCCTTTGCTACCCGCCCGGCCACTTCCACCGTCCATATCACAAGCATCCACTGGCAGGAGGTCTTTCGAATTGCCAAGGTCACCTCAAAGCCAGGCAAGGTCATCACGGGACCCTGGAGTTGCAGACCTCGCCCCTGTATTTCATGCAAAAGCCCTGGTGTTTGCTGCAGAGGAGGAAAGCCAAGAGAGTCCCTTCTTAGCACATGAAACATTACTGTGCACAGACTCCCCCTCAGAGGGTTCTCACAGAGGCAACTGAGCTGGAAGCAATGCCCCCTCTGTGGGTCTTGCCTGGCAAAGGTGAGCCATTCATCTCTCTCCACATCAAACCACACGTAGCTCGGGACTGGAAGGCTGTCCACCAGCCAGGTCCTGGGATCCCAGGGCAGAGCATCTGAACAGCATTGCTCACCAGGCAAGTCCGTTTCTGGGGAATGCCCACCCCAACTTTCACCACAGGCGTTAGGTTCTGCCTCACCGTCCCTACTGGCTTATTTCACTTGCCATAAGGCCCTTGGTTTAAAATATAACTTCCTAAGGACACCCAGTCACTCCCAACAAGCAGCCACATAGAAATCTGCCAACTCATCTAGGGAGCCCCTGAGGGCTGGGGCTGTATCGATTTTTCTCACATCTCTGTACCCAGCCCCAGTTCAGCTCAATACACATTTATCAAATGAATGACGGTCAAACAGCTCTCACGCCATGCCCCAAAACAGTATCCTTTTTTCCTGCCAGTGAGTGAGGGTGTCAGAAATGTGCATGGGTAACATTTGGCTGACGTGCGGTGGTGGCAGAGGACTCGTAAACATCGTTACAACTGCTGAGATTATTCCTAGAACAAAGAACAAATCATATCAGAGAGGTGATAGAATTTAGAACTTGAAGCGACCCCAGAGATAATATACTACAATTTCCTCATTTTACGGACAAAGAGTTGGAGGCCACAGAGAGACCTGGAAACTTGCTCAGAGTGTCTGCAGCACGAATTCAGCACAAATGTGAGGACGGCCAAGTGCCCAGTGGGAGGACTAAGCACAAGTCTGTGCTGTGACCCTGCTCGCCGAATCCGGGCTTTAATGGTACCGATAACACCGACCAACCGAAAACAAGGCTTGGAAATCTGAATGTGCATGACAGGAAATGCCTGAGTTCCCCAAATCACATTAAATCACCAGATCTGTGCGCACTTAATATGTATATTAAGTAACCAAAGTGAAAATGCAAAACACCACAAGTATGCACTGGGCTGGAATTACAGGGCATGGAAACCTTTCTATTTGGCATGGTCAGACTGGAAACTGTGGTGTTTACTTCTGAATAAAGAGCTCACTTTGATTTCTTCCTTTCCTTTCTTCCTTCCTCCCCTTCCTTCCTTCATCCTCCCCTTCTTTCCTCCCTCCTTCCTTCCTTCCTTCCTTCCTCCCCTTCCTTCCTTCCTCCTTCCTTCCTTCCTTCTTCCTTCCTTCTCTTCTTTCCTTCCTCTCCTTCCTTCCTTCCTTTCTCCTCCTCCTTCCTTCCTCCCTCCCTCCCTCCCTCCCTCTCTCCCTCCTCCTCCCTTCCTTTTTTGAAAGAATGAGACAACAGCAAGAAGGGGCATAAAAACAAGAACACCAAAAGCCACCATCAAACAAGATGCCACAGAGGGTCGGGCAGGAGCCTCGGGAAGGACAGCAGCCAGATGCACGCGTGGCTTCTCCTGGGACAGCTGCCTCTCACTGGGGCACAGGCTGACACTCGCTGTGGGAAAGGGGCACTGGCCCCGCCTCTGGGCTGGGGACAGGAGTGATCAAATCTTAGAGTCCCAGGGAGCCTCCGGATCCTGCCTTTAAAAGGAAAAGGGGAGACAAATGCTTGCCACTCCCTCCCCATGCCTGGGACGCACCGCCATTTCTAGCTGCTTGGGAACACTGCAACTGCTTCTTCAAGGAGGTGGCTTTCCCCCTTTGATGTAGTCATGACCCCAAAAGAGGATTCCTTCTCAAATACGTTTCTTTCTGTTCAAATCCCCTTTGGCCAAGGGCCACCGCGGACAGCACCCCCGCTTGGGGAACATCTCAAGGCTGCTGTAAGGGACCGGAAGACGGATTATAGTGAGAGCCATTCTGGAGCCTTCACTACAGCATTTGCCATCCCAAACACTATAATAAGCACTATTATTCTCGCTATCTATTATTGTCTGGCAAATAATATGTGTTTTTCCCGAAGTTCTAAAGGGTGCAGCTGCACCACACTCTATTTTTTGCAGCCCTGCTCCTGCAGCCCCGATAGCCCGCGCCGAGCTCATTGTAAGAGCCGGCAAAGCGGACGATCTGCTGTTTCCTTCCCTCTCGCCACATATTTGCCATGTCTGGGACACACACAGGCCAGGTGGCAGCGCGAGTGCCTGGCTGCTGAGAGCATTTGGGGGTGGGGGGCTGGCCCTGAAGCCATCCTCACTCACTCTTCGGGCTTGTGGTCAGAGGGGTGCGTGTGTCAGTGACGGAGGAATGGGCTCCGGAACCAGTGGAAATGAAGAACCATGCTGGGCTCCCCTTCCTGGTGGGTACTGGTAGGCAGCTCCAGAGTGGGGAGGAAGCAAGCCTGGAGTTTCAGAAAGTGACCACGTCAGGAAGTTCCAGAGCCTGAGGCGGTTCCAGTTTTGCCATCGCCAAGTCCAAGGATCTTACGGAAGATCCGTCTTGTCTAAATTTCTTGATCGGAGCAAAGGGGGAAGTCGCACAATAAGTGAGACACAGACTCAATTACAGTCTGGTGTGACCCCTAGCTAGCTGTGTGCCCCTAGCCCTGCTCCTCACCCTCCCAAGCCTTGATCCCTTCTCTGAAATGGGTGCCTGAGTGAGTTTTCTATTCCATCTCCCACCTCTCATATTCTCTGATCGTGGGATGTTTGTACCAAAGCCAGTACCAGCTACGGAGGATTATAAACTTGAGCGGCTGGACATTAATCTGTTATCAGTGTGTAAGGAAGGCTATTCATCTCTGGACCCCGAAGTCCAAAGTTTCAGGAAGAGTCTCTACTGACCCCCCCCACACACACACACACTCACACACACACACACACACACACACACACACACTCACCTCTGGTAGAGATTTTTGGAGTGTCCCTCAATGCAAGAGGTTCTGTGGAAGTGGCTATATTTGTGCATTACATTTGGGATCTCCTCTGCTTTGGGGGTTTGTCTGAAGGCAGGACAACCCAGGGCCCTGTTACATGGATTGTCACACACACACCTTCTATCCCACATACCATGTCTGTGCTGCGTATGAAGACCAGCTCCAGACGGTATGACCAGGTGCCTTCAGAACTCCAGGCCACGCTGCCCCTTCGGCCAGAGGAGTGAAGTGTCCTCACAGAATCATCGCTGCACATCAAATGCACCGGGAGAGGCCCTGGCCGCCTGGGCCTCCGAGGAAAGCCCTGCCGAGAATGTGACTGACTTACTCATCCTCCTTTATCACACACCAGTCTTCGGAGAATTATCGAGAATGCAGCTGTGCCTGAGTACTAATACATTCTTTCCATTGATACCATCAAAATATGGCCATTCTTTCCTTTTCTTCTTTGGCCTTTACAGCCTAAGACTTAAGCTGGTTGCATTTACAAGGAAAATTTATGATTTCCAAGCAACCACTCACCAAAATAATCGTGTGTCCAGAGAAAAACGCCCGTCTTATTCTACATCCCCACACCCCGTTGCTCAGTGGTGCTGGAGCCCACCTCCCCAGGAAGCCCACTTTGATTAATCTAATCCATTTTCCAAACTTTTATTCATCTTTCCTTCCAAAAAATACCTTTGTAATTAGCCTAATCAAAATCCGGTATGTCTGTCCTGTCTCACCGGTTTAAAAGACAAGCTCCACGTGCCTGTCATATTTATTCCCAGGAGCCCCAAGCCCTGTAGCACCAACTCTAGGATGTGCAAGGAATGCCTGTTGCCAAGCTGGCTTGCCTTTGCCCAATTACCCAGGCCCTACCAGTGACGCCACTCACTCAGGCACGGCGACCCATCACTTATCACAGTTAAATACAGCCATTAACTGCTGGCTTCGGCCACCCTGTTTATCTGGGACAATAACGAGTCCCTGAGGACTGGACCGCTCTCAGGTAGCGGCAGCTATTCTGGGACACGCACAAGCTCGATGAACAGAGCCACCTGCACCAGCTGATAAGCCTGGGTGTGATGCCAGATGGTGGTCTCCCAACCAGGTCCACTCCAGAAAGAGCTATGGCTTGGCAAGGTTTTCTCAAAAAAGGGTTCTCTTTCTCCCTCTCTGTCAACCATTGCTTCCCGAAGTGCTTCAAAATGGCTTTTACCAAAATGGAAGCATTTCCAGTAATGAAATGAGTGGCATCTCTTTTCTTACAGTTCAGTAATTGATGAAAATCATTAAAAAAATCCCTTCTCCCACCAGTGTGATTGTTATGGGAAATAACCCGAGGGGAGGGAGGGGGAGGGGGCCCAGGGGCAGCTGCCGCTTAGCTCAGTGCTGGCTCGGATCTGAATCACACCTTCCTCGCCCCTGTGCTGCTCATGTCAGGCTGCTGACAAGCTAAGGCTCATGTACATTTTAAAAAAATTAAAACACAGGCCTTGCTTTAAAAGAATAATTTTTTTTCTTTAGCAATATCCCTTATTTTATTCTTTAATCAATAAAATTCACAACCATATAAGACCCCCTACTGGGATAACTCCATCTTTAATTCTTTGTTTTATAAATTAAAACTTT